ATGTGCGGTGATTAACATTCACGACGGTAACGGGATTAATGACCATCGCAGTTGAGGTACCCGGGAACATCAATAGTCAATCACTCCAACTTTGCCACCACTGCCGCCACCACCACCGCCACCACCTCATCCAAGTCCGCCACCGCCGTCATTGACCCTAGAACTCAGTCGTCGCCCTCTCTAGCAACGCCATCCCCGCAGGCGCCTCCTCCAATTTCTCCGCCGTCAACACTTCCTCCGCCGCAGCTACTGCTACTGGTACTGTTGCTGCTGATACTACTGCCGCCGCCGCTACCGCCTTAGCATATCGCAGCGGTCGGCATCAACTTCTTTATTTAGCCAGTGCGGAAGTTCTGAAACCATTGAAATTCGAAATTACGATATTCTGCTCTACGAAGGTTTCTTTGAGGATTCGAAAGATACCCAAACACACCCGAGGTTTTATTTTTCATGGACTAAAACAATTATTAATCCTGATTTTTCCTGTTTTTCTTTTTTTAACAAAAAAAGAAAAGTCGGCGGCAGGTATGCGATTTGAAGGGTGGTGGTATGTCGGAGTTCGTCCAATTTGTAGGAGAGAGGTAGCGTACAGAAAGGAGCAACAGTGTAGAATGCCACCTACTTGGAAAGCATTAATTTACCCGTTCTATTGCTATTTAAAAAAATAAAAATAATAAGCTTATTTCGTCACGTTACCTTGCATTGTCCTTTAATTTTTGAACGCCACTACGTGTAGAGAATGTTGAATTTGCATCCTCCTGGCGATGGGTTATAGCGGCGAAATGTATCGTGCGTAGAAACTAGTTGAATTGAATTGATGCCTTATTCAACGTGGCGAGACTCGGGCCATCAGGCCCGCTTTTCCGTCTGACCACGCATATTTCGCTACGCTCCTTTCACCAACCAGCGGAGAAAGGAGGTATTTCTTGGGCGACGAAACATGCGATTAGAATTTAGCTCCGAGTCACGTCATTTAGGGTTGAGGATCTTTTACATGCAAGTAAATCTACTAACATGGGACAGTCAGCTTTACTTCCCATCCTAAGGAAGGCGTACGAAGGAAGGCGTATGAAGGAAGGCGTACGAAGGAAGGCGTACGAAGGAAGGCGTACGAAGGAAGGCGTACGAAGGAAGGCGTGCGAAGGAAGGCGTACAAAGGAAAGCGTACAAAGGAGTGCGTACGAAGGATTTTTTCGGCCTTAAAAATCCACGGAGTCGAACCCGCCAGCTTGGGTATAACAGTCCGATACGCTTACCGCTACACCATCGCCGCCGCGAACTAGTTGACACCCCTGCTCTAAGATATTCCACGCGCGTCCCACTAGTTCTTTGGAAGCTCTCATTCGCGTCACTAACGACCTTCGGAAGCCACCTGGTTTCGCGAATCGGCGTCACGGCATCGGCGGCGGCAGCGACGACGTCTGCGGCTGGGAGGAGAGGGTGGGGGAGAGCGGAGGGATTCAAAGGTGTGACTGGAGAGGAGAAGGAAGGCGCGGCAGGAGGGGTAGATGGGGCAGGCAGGGCAGGTGAAGGAAGTAGCGCCACGGGTAGAGGAACAGACAGGAGATGGCAGGAGGGGATGAAGGAAGCGGTGGCAAGAAGGGAGGGATGTTGAAGAAGCGGCAGGAGAGGTTGGGGAGGAAGGGGGCAGAAGAAGAGGAAAGGTGGTAAGAAGGGTTGAGCAGGAAGGGTCGATGGAGGGGTTGAGGAGGAAGAGGCGGCAGGAGGGGTTGGGGAAGGGACAGCAGGCCGGGTGGAGGAAGCAGCGCCACGGATAGAGGAAGGGACAGCAGGAAGGTTGAGGAGAAAGGGTTGCGAACGAAGAGGCGGCATGAGGGACAGAGAAATAGTTAAGGTGGAGAAGGCAGCGCCATGGGTAGAGGAAGGGGAAGCAAGAAGGAGAGAAGGTCGGTGGAAGGGTTGAGAAGGAAGAGGTGGAAGGGGAAGCAAGAAGGAGAGAAGGTCGGTGGAAGGGTTGAAAAGTAAGAGGTGGAAGGAGAGGCAAGAAGGGTAGAGGAGAAAGATGCGGTAGAGGAAGGGTCGGCATGAGGGGCAGAGAAAGGGACAGCAGGACTGGTGCAGGAACCAGCGCCACGTTTAGAGAAAGGAGCAGCAGGGAGGGTTGAGCGAAAATGGTCGGTGGAGGGGGTGAGGAAGGGGCGACAAGAGGGACGGAAATGGCAGCACGGCGGGCGGAGGAAGGGGAGGCAAGAAGGGTTGAGAAAGGAGCGGTGAGGGGGCATGAGGGCGGTGGAGGAAGGATTGTCGAGGAAGGTGAGGCCGGATGGGATCAGCTTTCCGGATACCCAACGCGGAATTTGGGAAATGGGATATTGCCTTTAAAGTATACAAAATCCAAACATATTGGCAGATTTAAGCGCGCGAAAACGTATTGTGTATTAATGGCCATTTTGTTCCCTCTAAGTCCCTTTTCACATTTAATTTGTGGTCGTGAAATCTCAGTAATGTTTGAATTGAATCATCGTGGAATGTCGTTGAAGATTCTTTTTGCAAAAATGTCAACATTCCCTTTCTCGTTCTATAAATATAAGAAGGATTCGAATATTTGAGATTATCCAGAATGCTTCAGGATTCGAAAAATGGGATTCAATTCGCTCTCTCAGACGTTAAGTACAGTCTTCCATAGCGACACGTGGAGTACTTTCCTTATTTTCAAAACGATTCGGCTCTTTGTGACGAAAAACGTCTTCTCATTTGTGGTAGCATGTGAAAACGTCACTATGCCAATATTTTGCGTTTTTACTAGCATCTTGCAGATAATTTTTTTCGGGTAAATTGGCATGTTCGTGTTAGAGGCCGAGAGCGCAAACACACCTTCAAAATCCTTGAAACATACCTGTTTATCCTTTCCAGAATATGCATAAAACTTCAATATTGACCGGTAAATGAGCTTAAATCTTCACTTAAACCTTCTACTTATGTTTTCGACTCCATTCCTAAGCAGCATGTCTCTGTAAAGTAAAATTTATGGGAGTAATCAAAGGAAAACACATTTTATTTCCTGGCATTTAACGGAAATACTAGTAGCAAAAACTTATTGTAACGCTGCGACTGTAAATTGCGATTATTTAACAGAAAAAAATAGTTTTTTGGACCCTTGAAAACAAAAATTAGATAAATCTTGTTCCTATATGTATTAAATTACTTCTGCACACTGGTTTCGTAGATAGAATCCTCGTTTTGTATGTCCTTAATGCCTCAAAATTGCTTGTCGGCAAGACGTTCGTCAATAGGTGAACAACGCTATCGGATAATCCGTAAGCAATTTTTACCGAAACTGATTTTCCCATATCTATCTGGCGGATATCTCTGCCCGTTTGAATGTGATATTTTGATCTCGGGAAAATCTTTACCAAAGGCCTAGAAGCCATTTTCGAAATTTTCTGAAAAATTGTTTTATTTTTTTCTCGGATTAAGCAAAGGACGTTTAAAAAGTTTTCATTTTCGTTCAATCTCTAAATCTTCGAAAATTGCAAAATCTAATTGTTTTGTCTTTGTATAACTACAGTATTACTGATCAAATTCAACCCAGTCTCGTCTCCGTTCCAAATTTCAACCCAGTCTCATCTCGTCTCCGTTCCTTGGCCCAATCCAATCTCGTCTTGTCTCCTTTTCCAAGTCCAGACCAGTGTCGTCTCCGTTCCCATGTCAACCCCCGTCTCTTCTCATCTCCGTTCCCAAGTCCATTCCAGTCTCGCCTCTTCTCCGTTACAGAATTCGGCCCAACCTCGTCTCCGTTCCCAAATTCGGTCCAACCTCGTCTCCGTTCCCAAATTCGGTCCAACCTCGTCTCCGTTCCAAAATCCGGTCCAACCTCATCTCCGTTCCCTAGTACAGTCCAACCTCGTCTCCCATCCCAACTCCACTCTCATCTTTCCTAACTCAGGTCCCTTCTCCACCCAAGAACCAAACCATAATATTATCATATTATTATTTTATTATTAATATTATTATCATCATTATTATTACGTGCGTATCAGATACTTCTGACCACGCTACACGAACGCGTGTAACTGCGGGTATCAGCTTTTAAGCTGTATCCATCAGTACGACAAGGGTATTGCAGCTTGAATTGTGTTTTATTAGGGGCTAAGATGTGAAGAGATGTGATGAGAAGGGAGGTGACTATCTCAAATTCGACCATGTTTACGCCGGGCACGAACCTGCAGCCTCCCCGGCGCAAGACGCTGTCGCAACTGTCTTGCGTCTCGGGGCCAGTTGTATTATTATTATTATTATTATTATTATTATTATTATTATTATTATTATTATTATTATTATTATTATTATTACTATTACTATTACTATTACTATTACTATTACTATTACTATTACTATTACTATTATTATTATTATTATTATTATTATTACCCCACCGTTTATACTTTAAATACCGATTTGAGATCTAAATAACAGCTGCGAGGGTTCATGTGATCGCATAGACTTTAAAAGGATCAAAAGGAACTGGACAAAATCGTGATCGAGATGGAGGTTATTCATCCAAAAGATGGTGTACTCTAGTGGCTATAAGCACATAAACCTTTTAGAATTATACATTACATGTAATATTTTTTTGTGTTTATATTATTCAAATATTTTCGTTTTTGATGGCAAATATCATCTAATTGTGTAGATGCATGAATCATAATTAAAGGGAGGAAACGGCTTCTAGAGTACTAGTCATCCATTATCACAAAGACAGTATACGTAAGTTGTATTTATCAATGAAAGCAAAAAAACACCGGATTAAGATTTTTTATTGATATTATATAACGGCAGTGTATTGCAGTGCTAGTGAATAAAATATTATTTGTATTTCCTTCAAATATACTAATATTCGATCGTATGTATATCTTCAGCAAAAATGGAAACGGATGTACCACGTCATTTGCACAATGCCAAACGTATTAATGAAGATATAAAAATAATGTTGAGAAGCCATTGTGAGGTAGTGATTTTAATATCACGTTCTCTTGCAGGTGATGGAGACAAAGAACATGATCTACATCGTCTCGGAATACGCCAGCCAAGGAGAGATTTTCGGTGAGTGAATTGTATTCGTATTTTCTATTAATTGAAAGCCATGGAAACGAAATTGATATTAAGTGACGGAATGTTGAATTGTGGGAACGTTGGTGGAGCGAAGTTTTCAGTTTACTAAGATTGAACTGAAGCAACGGACATCATTGCCAAGTAACGAATTACACAGATTTCAACAGAGTTGCCAACGTTTTCAGTATATACAGATTAATATTAAATTTATGAATGTCAGGCTTTAAATATTTATTATTATTATTATTATTATTATTATTATTATTATTATCATTATTATTATCATCATTATTATTATTATCATTACTATCATCATCTAACATTAGTAGTCTGTTAATTTATTGTACAGTGTAAATTATAAAGTTGATTCTTTTCACTAATAGGGGTAAATATTTAGACGTTCATGGGTTTTTTAATCTTACTCCAAGTGAATGACATTAACTTTTATACCAATTATTTCAAGTTGTTCATACATATTGAAATCATAGCATAGAACGCAACGTACAGTCACTCCGACCAAGAATTGCTTTTTATACCGAGTTACCGAAATACAAACTAACGCTTTGGGCAGGATTCGGGGCCGATACTGCTCTTTATGATTTATGAATATGACCATCCTGCCTTGATACAAAGTGACAATGTCACGTCATCAATGATATTACTGTAATGAGAAGACTTCCGAAGTAGATTTTATATTCTGAAAGGTAGTGACAACTTTATATCTATTACTCGCGCATTTATATAAAACCAAGTTTGTACATTACATTTGTGAGGTTATCCTGTTTAAAATTCCGAACTGCCCCCGCACGCCGTCCATTCTGAACGTTGTTCCAGTTCCAAGTTTGTCGCCTGGAGGTCGAAACGTAGAGAGAGTTTGTATCTCGAGAGTATCCCATTTCCGAGTTCTGTGCTGAATAAATCTACATATTAACGCGGACGTGACGTCTGTCTTCGCAAACTAGTTAAGGCAACACTGTCACTCGTCCGTAGGCCTACTCCGCGACTTACTTTCCGAGTTTTGCGTCATTCTTCGCTTTGTGCGCGAGGCCGAAGTGCGTGCGTGTGTTGGGATGAATGGCAGTAGCCTTTGCTGGCGTGCAACTAGGAGCCGTTTTCTAAAATAGCCTCGTCTCGTTATTGTGTTGTGAACTGTGGAAGTTAAAACACGGATTTTAGTTAGCACATAGTATTTCTTCTTTGTCGCGAAGGAAAAGAGATTGAAATTATATATATATATATATATATATATATATATATATATATATAATATATATATATATCTATAATTATAAAGAATTTAAACAAACTTTAGTCATATTTACTTTATTGGGAAAGTTTATACACGGTGGTATCCGAGGAATAGTACTTTTTTTTTTATTCTTAAAGAAATTTAATTCATCACTGATATGGTGAAAGTGAGAAAATAGGTTTATTTTGCGATATCTGCGATGATTTAGATGATTTTTGAAAACCAGAGGGCGTGGTTTAGAACCCAACGGGGTTTTCCTCATCATTGTTAATAGGGATTGGGATTCATTCTTGTGAATGACTCTCATTGAATTTCTAATATGTTTTGCGATTCACAAGGGTAGTTGAAATGAATTTGGTTCATTGCGTTTTAAAGCCTTTATTTCATTTTATACAGTCAACTTACACAGTGTTGTAACAACAAATTTATATACTTCTAATTAAGTTAGACTTGCGAAACTATGAGATCGTACATTATAACTTTGTCATGACATAACATAATTATGTGTTTTTTACGTGTCACCCATGCATCTTCCATGGAAATGATGCACACATTAGAAACCAATGAAAAAAAAAGAGACATTCAATGAAGTTTAGTAATGAAAATAGTGAAAATATGTAATAAATATGTAAAATCAGATATAATATGTAACACTAATAAAACACATATATGTAAATCAAAATTATATTTATAAAAAAATTCCTAAACAAATTTTTAAAATAATACAAACATGTTAAAAATAATTTGGAGAACACAAGTTGATGCTTATTTTGCATCATACAACTTTCCGGTCAGTAATAAAAGTTTCGTCTATTGCTATCCAGGTCGGTAGATTAGCAGTCAGACCAGACGCAATAGGAGCCCTCGCACAAATTGGCGATGTCTGCGAACAGCGAACAATCGCTGCAGCGTCCAGCATCCTCAATATATCTAACACGTCGGCGATCGCCTAAGTTGGACGGAAATTAAGGTTAAAGATCACGAAACCCGGCGTCAGTGATACTTTTCACGCCTGAAGGTGAGCCACTGAGATAACTGAAAAGTTACAATCGCGCTGGACTGTAAGAACATCCGACCGCGACTTAACGTTACGCATCTCTTATCGACAGTACTCATTAACAATGTAGGGAAACATTCTGATAAAAAAAAATTCCATTTTTCATAAAAAAATATTTATAACAGCAGAAAAATTATAAAAGAAAAATATTTGTGGATACTCGTATAACAAAATACGTAATATAGTACTAAATATGTAAAAGTGTGTAACGAAAAAAATAAATGTTGTGTTAGGTCGGTGACGAATAGCCCAGATTACAAATTTGAGATTGGTGAGCAGAAAGACCAAAAAAAAAAAAAAAACAAAAAAAAACCTATTTTCATAAAAAATAATTGTCTCTTGTGATGGACTGCACGTGCGAGAGTCTCTAAACCATTCTGATTTTTAAAACATCCTTTTTTCATAAAAATATATTTATAACAGAAGAAAAATGATAAAATAAAGAAAAATATTTAGTGAAAATAACAAAATATGTAATGTAGTAATAAATATGCAAAAGTATGTAATGAAAAAATTAGTATTGTTAGGACGGCGACGATTCGCCAAGATTACAAATTTGAGGTCGGTCAGTAGCATGACAAAAAAATTATATTTTCAGAAAAATTCTGTCTCTTTTGATGGACAGCACGTGCGACAGTCTCTGAACCATTCTGATTTTAAAAAAATCCTTTTCCAATAAAAATATATTTATAACAGAAGAAAAATGATAAAATAAAGAAAAATATTTAGTGAAAATAACAAAATATGTAATGTAGTAATAAATATGTAAAAGTATGTAACGAAAAAAATGGATGTTGTGTTAGGATGGCGACGAATCGCCAAGATTACAAATGAGATTGGTCAGTAGAAAGACAAAAAAAAAAAAAAACTATTTTCATAACAAATAATTGTCTCTTGTGATGGACAGCACGTGCGACAGCCTCTAAACCATTCTGATTTTTAAAAAATCCTTTTTTCATGAAAATATATTTATAACAGCAGAAAAATTGTAAAATAAAATATTTTGTGAAAATAACAAAATATGTAATGAAGTACTAAATATGCAAAAGTATGTAATGAAAAAATTAGTATTGTTTAGACGTCGACATTTCCGCCAATTACAATTGAGTCTGCAGCAGAAAGACAATAAAAATTACTATTTCATAACAAATAATTGGCATCTGTTGATGACAGCACGTGCCGAGAGTCTCTAGAACATTTCTGATTTAAAAAAATCTTTTTCCATAAAAATTATATTTATATAACAAATTAAAAATGTAAAATAAAGATATTTGTGAAATGACAAAAATGTAATTAGTAATAAATATGCCAAATATGTAAATGAAAAATTAGTATTGGTTTAGGGCGACGATTCGCCAAAGATTACCCAATTTGAGTCGGTCCAGTAGAATGACAAAAATATTGTATTTTCAGAAAAAAAACTCGGTCCTCTTCTAGATGACAGCACCGTGCGACACGTCCTCCTGACCATTTCTGATTTTAAAAAATTCCTTTTTCCATTAAAAATAGTATTTATAACAAAATAAAAAATTGTAAAAATAAATAGTATTGTGTAAAATGAACAAACATATTAAGTAGTAATAAATATGCAAAAAGTATTAATGAAAAAATTAGTATTGTGTTAGGACGGCGACGATTCGCCAAGATTACAAATTTGACGGTCGCGTCAGTAGAATGACAAAAATATTGTATTTTCAGAAAAATTCCGTCTCTTGCGATGACAGCACGTGCGACAGTCTGAACCAATTCCACCGGAGCGTGCATCATCGTCAGATTCGGAAACGACCTTCAGTCAACTGCGCGCGTCGAGATGCGATGTGTAGCGGCTCGCAGCGTTTACAGACCAACGATGCCCCCCCCCGCCCCCTTCCCTCCTTACGCAATCCACATACCCGCACGCACACCCCGCAAGGTTAAAAAACACTGAGGAGGTTAAAAACTCGGTAAACTGCATAAACTAGTGGTGCTACAATATTCTCTCTCACAATATGCTTTCTCACATTTCTAAATTTGCAGTTTTCGAAAATTCAGAGAGTTTAACAAAATTGAGACCCGCGCCATTCTTTTAAGCAGCCATATTTCTAGCCATGGGGGGGGGGTAAAGAAACTTGGTAAACTATATAAACTAGTGGTGCTCCAACATCACATTACTACTTTCTCGCATTTTAAATTTGCAGTTTTTGGAAATTTCAGAGACTTCAACGAAATTGAGACCCTCGCCATTCATTCCTTTTTCTATCTAAGGAGGGGGGGGGGATAAAAGAAAAAAAATTGAGCGATTTTTGAGAAAAAAATCTAATGCCTTTGTTTCGCGTCCAATTACACAAAAACCCACATTTCCGAAAAATTGAACATTAACTTATTTAAAGATCCGTCTTTAAGAAACATATTTCTTTTAGGAAAAAAATCTCTATCTTCAATACTATAGTTTTAGGAAGACGTTCCCCAAAAAAAGCACTTTCGCCATTTTCTAAAAATCTGAGGATTTAACCAACATCTGCACCATTCTATTAGGGGTCCTTAGCGATATCTGAGCACAAAGTTTGATAAAAAGAATTGGACCCAATTCTGAGAATATTTTCAAAATATTTGAGAGGCTTCATGTAAGGAACCTTGAAACATCAAACTATCAATTTAAAACTCCGAAGCGTCGAGTTCATTCACATCGATTCGGGAACATCAGTT